GGTCTGCCTCTCAGTGCTGCAGCTAGAGAGGGCCGCTGTGCCAGGCCATGCTGCTCTGAGGCCCCGCGGAGGGTCAGCCCCTCGGCTCTCCTGCTGCGTGCTGCCTGGTGACATGGGGAGGCTTGTGGATCTGTCTGGTTCTCGAAGGTTAGAGCAAGCAGCTCTCTCTACTTTTCTGAGCATGACTATATTTTAAAATTCATTCATGCTTATTGTACGGGGGGTGGGAAATTGGGAGAAGAATGCTAAAGTCAAAGTGGGTCAATGCTAACCCATGGCCTGCCTTGTTTCGTCCCGTGTCCATAAATGCATGAAAGTCATATTGGGTTTACATTGGTATTTGTTTCCTCTTGCTGCTGTGACCACAATTACCACAATTACAGCGGCTTAAGACAACACAGAGGTATTATCGTATAGTTCTCTCATTGTTAAAGCTTTCTTTCACCAGCGCTGTTTCCCAGGCCTCTGTGGCCAGAGACTTTGTTTACCGGATTGAGTGCTATCTTACAAAACTTAGCTTTGGACGTAGTTTTGGAGACACAGCTCTGCAAATCATCCCAGCCAAGCGGAGCTGCTTACCCTCAAACACCTTTATAAGCTTAAGTCTAAAATTACTCTAGTTGCAGTAGTTTGAGCAAAACCATGTTTATAAAATTAACTCGAAATTGTGTTCCACCCTCCACTCAGAATTCCAGCCTAGCTTTGTTCTGCTGGTTCCTCTGGTCATGGAGCTCACGCAGTTCCTGCCTCCTGCTCTGTCAGCATCAGGTGTCAGCCGTTGGCTAAGACCACCTGGTCTGCCCTGAGCCTGTGTGACACTTTCCATTCATGTTGCTTCCCAGGGACCATGCCTGGAGTCCTTTAGGAGAGCTGTTCTGTAGAGTGTTCAGCCCAGGATGTTTGTCATTGAAAACAGAGCTCACTTTCAGCTGTCGTCAGCTGTTGAGCCATTCACCAGGTGAATAAACAAGAATGAGAGCTCGTTTTGATGAGACCGGTGGGGATGGAGCCCGGAGGTACTGGGGAAGGGCTGGGTGCAATGCATGACCACGAGCGCCGGTGCTGATCCATCACTCTTTGGGGATCCTAACCGGGTATGTCCTCAGGGCTAAGAAATTTCTAGGGCCCCTGAGATCATAGACAAGGATGAGCTAGACTCTCCAGACTGAGGCACAGACCATTGGAGTCACATTTATGTCATGATCCCAGATCAGTAGTGGTGTCTGGGGTGTCCCACTGCGGGAAGAACATTAGACATTTTTCACCATCCTCATTGCCAGGACTGTTGGCTGCAGACTTCTGAGGAAGAAGGTGGGTGTGGAACAGATCCCTCTACAGCTTTGTAGCTGTGTAATTTCTAACATGACACAGAATTCCAATGCATGGTTTGAATCATACTGGGGTTGGGGGAATGGAGGAGAGAGGGGTAACAGATCACAGGGCCCAGCAGAGAAGCCTGGCCAAGGGGATGGGACTCAGTGTCTCCTTTCTTTGGGGACCCATGACAGCTCTTCTGGAGGCTTTGATGTGAGCTTGGCTATTTGAAACCTCTCAACTGCTTTTACTTTGGAAGCAGCTGCTCTAAACCTGCTAAACCAGTCTTTCTTTGCTGTTACTCACGCGCCCTCTAGTGTCTATAAATGGTAAAATTTGCCCTAGGGACCAGTAATACAAAGGCATGTCTCTGATGTTGAATGGTTGACCACTTCTCTATACTAACCCTTTGCCCTCTTTGCAATTCTCTTTCAGCCTACATCCATCAATCTCATTTAGCCATAACCAACATGACTTGGCTTCCAGACCAGACCTAACTCTGATTGCTAGCAGCTCACGTAACTCGGGCTGGCATTAGCGTCTGAGCCTCCATGGTCTAAACCGTTCACAGACGTCCTGGCATCTGCCCTGACTACGTCCCAAGGTTATTGTGAGGATCGAGTGACGTGAAGCCTGTTATTAAAATGCTATTTGCATGTGGTGGTTATTACTTCTAAGCCATTGAGCCTGTGATTTTTTACACCAAAATCGTTTGAGTTCATGTGCTTTGGTGAAGACATTTAAACGCTTTCCTCAGGTTTTCCCACTGGGAATTCTGTCCCCATCTGCAAGCATTGAATAAGGGGCTGCTATGTGTATTTCATAATATCTTTAATGCTTCATTCAGCAAACATGAGGTCCTACCACCGTGGGTGCTGGGATCCAGCAGTGACAGGTCCTGCCTTATGCAGTTTATATCCAGATGAACTAAGGGGTTCATAAATGATTGAGATGGTCCCTATCCTTAGATGACTTTGCAGCTTACTTGAGACGAGATACTTAACCAGATCTGATACAACTCAGCATGTGAAAACGGCTTTCACAGAAATATTAAAAAAAAAAAAAAAAGTGCCTAAAGCAGAGACCAGACCGTGGTGTGTGTGAAAGGGTGAAGGCAGGGAATACAGACTATGCTTTCTAGAAGTTTAATGCTGGGGGAGTGGCTGGTGGAAGGTAATGTGGACACTGAAGAGGTCAATTGGAAAATAATGACGACCAGCCTCGGTGATTTGGTGTTTATTTCTAGTTCTAGAAGAATGGCAAACCTTTTATGCACAGTACCCACAGAATTGCTCTTTCTCATTCTAAAGACATTATTCTTTGGGATTCCAAATAAGTAGTAACTGGGTAAATTGGATGCTTGCTGTTCTAAATAGTAACTTGGTCCTTATCCCAAGTATATGGGGTAGGCTCCTCTTATTACACTCCCTTTACCGGTGAGGGACCTGGGATAGGAAAACAGTAAGTGACTTGCCCCGGGGTTATATTTGGCTGCTAAGCAGTGGGTTCAGGTCCACACAGGCTGGCTCCAGGCCTTGCGTGCTCACCTCTGCGCCAAATCGTTTCTCAAACCTTCATTGAAAGAGCCAATCTGAAATTATAGAGACCTATATGCAGAGGTAATATTACCTGATTGCTTTAAAATATTTCAGTGTTAGGAAGAAAGGATAGGGACGCGGGTGTGGTAAAATCTTGATAAATGTTTAATGTATTCAATGGGGAGCCATTATAGCATCCCCTAATAAAAACTGGACATCCTTGCTAGCAGACATGATAAATTGGGAATATTTTTACCTTGCTGTTAGTGTCAAAAGACTTTTATTTGTAAATGACTTGGGTAATTTAGATCAGTGTTTTTCAACCTTTTTTGGGCAAAGGCACACTTGTTTCATGAAAAAAATCACGAGGCACACCACCATTAGAAAATGTTAAAAAATTTAACTCTGTGCCTATATTGACTATATATAAAGTAATTCTCTTGAATAGGAATCAAATAAACACAAAGAAAGTATTTTATAATTACTTTATTATGAAATATTAAGTAAACAAAATAGTGAAAAATTATAAAATTCTTGTCTTGTCTGCACCTACGGCACACCAGGCAACATAGTGTGCCGCGGAACAGCGGTTGAAAAATGCTGATTTAGATCAAGACGAGTTTCCCTAAGTTACTAGTGTAAAAGTGCCTCTTGGTGATAAAGTGCCCTGTTCTGTGTATGAAAAACAACTTGCCACCTAATTGTCAAATGTGAGAGCCATGCTTTTTCTTTATACAATAAGGGTCAATCTTCTTGATAAATATATTTGATAGAATAGCAAAATGTCTTGAGTTAGAAGGGACTTCACAGACAACTTCTTCCACAATTCTCATCATGTAGCTGGGAGAACTTAATGATCCTCCCAGGATTAGATAGCCAATAACGGATGATTCATGGAAGAGCAGAAATAAAGACCTGGATTTCCTGAATTCTAGGGGGGGTTTCCAAAGCCCATCAAAAGCAGCTGTGCCCAGAAAGAGGCTGTAGCAGCCCCCGTGGAGACACAGACCCCTGACTTCACCTGTAAGACGTTGGCCAAGGTAAAGTCTGGGGAAGATGGTGAAGAAAAATGAGTCACCTTCAGGTTGGGACTGGAAGGGGTCATACGGGCCTTTAACCTTGGCCATTTCCAAACTTTGGACTTGAATGGTCCCACGTGTTTTGTGTGCGTTTTCCATGTTCCTTTTTCATAGACCCTTCATCTCCCACAAAGGGCATCATGGGAACTTCTCAGAGGTGCATTTGGGGCTCCGTGGCGACAAAACCCACCCCTTGACGGGCCTGAAGTCAGGGTCAGGCATGGCCCCAGAGGGAGGAATGCAGAAGGGCTTGGTGAACGTGCCTAGAGCCACCCCACCCCACCACCACTGACCTGGTCTTCTCTGAAAATTCCTGTGAGGCATTTCCAAAGGCCACATCTCACCTTTCCTAGGCCTGGTGCACACCTTTCCTGTGACACCTGAGCTGGCTTTGTTGGCATGCATTCTTCAAGGTTTGGGGGCTGGGCCAGGGATGTCTCCGACCTGAATGCTCTAGGTCCGTGGCAGGTAAGGTAAATGAATGAGGCTGGCCTACTAAGGCTACGGTGAGAAGAACAAACCTAGTCCTCCTTCAGAGGTCCTTCGGCACTGACTGTCCACGCCTGAAGCTCGGGCAGGCGAGCTGGTAGGTGATGGCTTTTGATAGACAAGAAGGAACCTGGTGAGGGGACCAGGAGACCTGAGTCCCCTCACTGACTCCCGGCGACCTCAGCACAACCCTCTGTCTGCAGGACCTCGGTTTCCTTCATCTATAAGAGGTGGGGCTGTCCCCTCACAGTCTCATTCTGTGACCTATGACCTGTCCCCCGAACTGGACCCAGTGTCTGTCTGCCTGACCCATATCTGCACACTGCCCAATGGGCCTCTCACATCTGACTTTTTAGCACTGGGTTCCTTGAGGTCCTTGTGGATGGTTTGTGACATTATCCTTACGTACTTGGACCCCTATGATAACGTGTCCTGACCTAACCATTGTTCTGGTACCACTATGTCGGCGCTTGCTTTTTTTTCTTTTTTTTTCTTTTTTTTTTGCCAGTTTTCTCCTCTTTCGGAAAGCAGTCACGAGCAGATGAGCTTAGAAAGGGTTGTTCTCTTCGTATTGTTTCAGGGAAAATAGAGAAAGTCAGACCTCCTCCATCCCCCACACCTGAAGGCCCCAGCTCGCAGCCTGACTTAGCCCCCGAAGAGGCTGCCGGATCGCAGCGGCCCAAGAATCTGATGCAGACCCTCCTGGAAGACTATGAGACTCACAAATCTAAAAGGCGCGAGAGAATGGATGATAGTAGTGTAAGTTCCTTCTCCTTTCCTCTTCCACTCCCCCGAGTAGCATGACGGACGCGTAGACAGTTGTCTGCCAGGGATCTGGCTCCTCAGCCGATTTTCAGATGTGTGGTCAGACACGCCCGGAGATGGGGTTGGGGTTTTTGCCTTGTTTCTTGAAAACGTGGAGCAGGCCAGGAGGCGGTCTTTTTCCTGCCCATGTCATGGGGGCCTCTGGCCGTGTTGGTGTGTGGGTGTCTGGTGCAAGAAGGGAAGGAGGATGGAGGGGCCCTGACATCACCCCAGGCACCGGGGAGCTGCTTGCTGCCCTCGCTGCCCGCTCTGTAGGGTTTCATTTCTCCAGAGAAGTATGACGATGCTATCCTTCAGCGTCTACTCTGGCCACCCCTCGAAATGTTACTCGGTGCCCAAAAGACCGAGTGCGCTCGGGGCTGTTACCAGGCCTTGCATTCAGTTTAGCAGGAAAAGAGCCCTTTACAATGACGGTTGAAAACCACACGGCCACCTGCTCCCCTCAACCCTGAGAACGTCACGTGTGCTGTTCACCTTGACCATGGAGGAAGTCATCCATCTGCTCTGTGGTTTCTTTCTCCCACAAGAGACGGGAAGGCCATGGTGCCACAGCCAGGAGCTGGGGATCAGCCTGAGGGGGGTCCACGCCAACCTCCTTAGGAGTCTGCTGGCCCCAGTCTCTTAGCACTTACTGAGGTGACTGCCTCTTCCCCCCAGTGGCACGTAGGTCACAAAAAGCTTGGGTCTGGGGAGTTTACCTGGTACAGCTCCGGTGTCAGCCTATTGTTCTGGTGTCATATGAATAGCTATCCTCTTCCACTCCTAAAAGCGCCCCTGTTTGGATCAGTTATCTGTGCTGCGGGGTGCACAGTGCTATTCAAGTGTTCTTCTCGAGTAAATGAACATGTCATACAAGGAGGAAGCCCACTAACTAGTCTTGGATGCAAGGCCAAGTGCTTTTCACTGTTACTGATAGGACAAGAGAACCAAGTTTGTTGTTGAAAATTCTTAGGAATAGAACAAAGCAATCCCCTGAGTCCCTTTAAGAGACCCACATTTGGGGAAAGCGTACTCAGACTGCTTATAAAGCAAACATGTGGCCAGAGCCCCCGTCACCCCATTTCCAGCCCTTTCGGTTCAGGGGGTCTTTGCTATTGTGCCTGCGTCAGTCCCTGGGGGGTATTTGAAGTTCACCTGCCGGAACAAACAAGCCTTCGTTTGCTTTCCTGGCTGGTCCGTGGCCCCTTCTCCAGCTGTCTCTGACCCGAGAAGGAGCATGAACAGGCGCAGATGGGCTGCTTGCTGCCTGAGTTGTGTACCTGGCTTCCCTGCCCCTAGAAGCCGTGGTTCTGTTCCGGCTCCATTCACACGCCCTGTTCTCTAGGCAAACGATGGCTTCTTAGGTTCTGCGCCCTCTGAGACCCTCACACGGCCCACCTGGCGCCAGGGTCGCCCCGGCACCAATATTGGCCGGTCCACCTGCCAACATGCCTTCCAAAAACCCTCTGAGGACTCCCTCACACCAGGGAGGTGACCAGGACCCAGCCATGGGCTTGGCCATACGCTTGTTCAATTCAGCTCTTTCTGAATTGAATAAAACGTTCTTCTTTGCTGTGCTTCCTAAGAAGAACGCAGCCTTCACAAAATGGGGCAACGAGGATGTGTGCATTGTGACACGTTAGACGTAAGGGTATGGATGCACATGAAGGACAGAGGGAAGGGAAGACAGAGAAGCCCCCAGAGCCGCACCTCAGGGCTCATGAGTAGCTTTTGCCACGAGACCTTCAAAAACTGCCCCTCGCCATCAAAATGGGGGTGGCGCCTCCTCCCCCAGAGCGTCACTGGTCTCTGGAGACATGCCCAGGGTGCTGAGTTGTTTTTCCCCCCACACTCTGTGAAAATTCATGTGCAGGATCGGCAGGGAGGCCTTTGGGGTGGAATCCCTGCCAGGGGGGGACGCGGGGATGCCTATACCACATGGGATGGCTTTTTCATGGCCCTGAGCTGTCTCCGCTCCTGCTGGAGGTGCGGGCTCAGAGGAGGACCGAAGATGGAGAATTAAATCATGGACTTTCTCACTCAGGAGTTATTGTCGGTGACAGTGCGTCGACAGTGTTTTTCTGGCCAGTTGGTCCCCCAGCTTGACCTGAGCCTCAGACAATGATGGGTTGAGTCAGTGATGCCCTTGAACTTGGTGATCTTGTTAATTCAAAGCACAGAAAACCTTGAATTAACAAAGTATGGCTTATCTGATATTTTTTTTATTAAAAATAATAGGGTATCTATTTGCTCCAAAAGATATGGATTTCTAAATAAATGAATATCAGATGAAGCAAGTCTTGGCGTGGGTGTGTAATGGTCTCCTGGTGTTACTGCCCTCCTGTCTGCCCCTGTGGTACCGGTTCCCGGTTAGGGGGAGGGGGGAGGGGAGTGTGTCTCTGCCATGTACTAACCTGGACTTTTCCCTCTCTGCCAGTACACCTCTAAGTTACTGTCTTGCAAGGTGACTTCCGAGGTACTTTTCCACTTGTGTGTCTTGGTCTTCCTGCATGCCGGGCCAGGTGCATGCGGTTGTGGTTTGCCATTTCCCGGTGGGTTGAAGGAGGAGGACAAGAAAGCAGTGTGTCTCCGTGTCTGTTTCTTCCTGTTGCTTCTGAACTGGGAGAACTGCCTCCACACGTTGGCATGCACGCAGCCACGATGCACCCTGCTGTGCCGGCCGTGCCGTGTGGTGGGATGGAGGAGACCTTGCCCTGTTCACGGAGCTGGGAGATGTCTGTTTCTTCAGGCTCTGACAGCAAACACACCTGGTTTGGTTAGAAAGCAATGCAGCTCAAGAGGACCCGGTCCTTTGTTTGCTTAAACACATCCAGGGAGCTCTGTGTCTTCGCTTTAGGATAAGCTATTCCTGAACTTATCCAGAAGTGAGCCATCCAGCTTCCCTTTTACCCAAATGTTAAATCTCTGTTTTAGTTTTGGAAGCTTTGCGCATTGAATTTCCCCGAAAGTCTCCTTTCCCCTACAACTTTATTTTATTTTGTTTTATTTTTATTTTTATTTTTTAATATATTTGTTATTCCCCTAACCTGTTTGGCTCAGTGGATAGAGCATCGGCCTGTGGACTGAAGGGTCCCAGGTTCGATTCTGGTCAAGGGCATGTACCTTGGTTGCAGGCACATCCCCAGTAAGGAGTATGCAAGAGGCAGCTGAATCGATGTTTCTCTCTCTCCCTCTCCTTTCCTCTCTGTAAAAAGTCAATAGAATTATATATATATATATATATATATATATATATATATATATATATATATATATATATTATTGATTTCAGAGAGGGAGAGAGAGAAATAGCAATCATGAGAATCACTGATTGGTTGGCTTCCATATACTCCCTAGTGGGCATGTGCTCGGACTGAGAATCGGACTGAGAATCGAACTGTGACCTCCTAGTTCCTAAGTCGACGCTCAACCACTTAGCCACGCCAATGGTGCTACAGCTTTCTCTCATACACAGATTTAACAGACTTGTGCTGTGAAATGTACATTTTTCATTTTCCCCATTTTCTAATATTTTCTCTTTTTTGTGAGAAACATTTTGTACTTTTATTTCTACAGCATTGTATTATTTTTATTTTAAACAAATTATTTCAAATTTACAGAATTATGGAGAAAATCCACATTCATTCACTTGCTCTGTTAACAGCTTTTTGAGCACCTACTATGCCACAGGCACTTTTGTAGGTTCTGAGAGGAGAGCAGTCAACAAAACAGTCCCTGATGTCATGGAGCAGGCATTCGAATGTGCTAAATAACATAATATAATAAAATTATGCATTCTATCCAGCTTTGTCCATTCTTATCACTTCATAATATGTGCTTAATATCTTCAAAAGAAATTAATATTGCAAGTAGAACTTACCCCTCCTGTTACTTCTCCCAGTTCTCCTTTCTCTCTCTCCTGAGAGGTAGTTATTTTTGAGTTTGGTGTTCATGCATTGATTTCATGCATGTTTTTATACTTATACTATATATATATATATATATATATATATATATATATATATATGTATATGTATATATATGTATATATATATATATATATATATATATATATATAGTATGTTCTGATTTTGCATGTTTTAGAATTTCCTACAAAATACATCATATTGTAGTATCCTGCACTCCTTCCTCTGTTTTGTCTGCATTGTTTTTAGATGTGTCCATCTTGATTTTTATGGTTCTAGGTCACTCATTGTAACTGCTGTAAAGTATTACATAGAGTGAACATGTCACTGTTTATTCACCCTCCTAGTGATGGAAATGTAGGTTGTTTCTTGTCCTAAAAATAAAATTTTATTGCTGCTACCAACAATGCTTTGCTGGATGATATCATCCATATCACTCTGTGCACCTATGGGAGAACTTCTCTCCGTATTAGAAACAGTAGTTCTGGTTATAGGGCTCAGATAGCCTCGCATTTGCTACACATTGAAAACTAGCCTTCCTATTGGTTGTGCTAACCTGTAGCACAGTATACTTTAAATCTCCCTATTTATCAAAATAATTATAATTACCTAGATACATAAGCTGATGATTGTCAGCAATCTCCTTCCATCGGGTATAAAATGAATATTGAGAATATCATCGCATGTACTTTTCTCAATGGCTACCTGGTTGCAGAACCATAGATGTATTTTTTAGCTTTCAGGTACGCCTTTCAGTGTGTATGTGCGAGGTGAACAGGTGGCCAGTTTGCACAGGGTAGAGAGCCTTATAAAAATGCCTCATATTTGATTACCGCTCTATAGTTTATGAATTCCCTTCACACGATGATAGAAGTCATTATTGCTTGAGAACTTACTATACACTGGGAGTTCTTGCTAAATGCTTTCCACATGGTGCCTCATGTATTCCTCGGGCCAACTCCATACTGTATTTTTTATCGTTCCCATTATTCATACACAGGAACTGAGGCACGAGGGCAAACCTTCCCAAGGTGACACAGTCACGAGGATGTACCCCTAGACCTGCCTGGACTTCAGAGTCAGCCCTGCCCCCTGAGAAAGCCTGTGACGTAGGGCGGTAGTGCGTGTCCATTTTGCAGATGAAGGAAGTTGAGGCACCAGATGCCATGAACAAGAACAGCATGCCCCAGAGCTGGAAATAAAGCTCAGGACTTCCAATGCCCGTCTGGCACTGCTGCTCAGTACCATGTGACCTGCACTGCCCAGAAGAATCCTCTGCTTATAACTATAACACATTGGAAAGCATGCTTTTTCCTACTGATACCTTATTCTTAGATAGAATAGGTGGCCGTGATATGCTCACACACAAAACACTGTATGGCATGGCTTATGTGCGTAATAGACTGTGTCCTACATGTCCAGTCCAGTTGTCCCTGTTGGGAGGACCGAGGGAGGCTCCGAGAGGAAAGTACACTGACGCTCTGGGAAGTTGGTTCATTTGTCAGGGGGGCAGAGAAGCAGGTTGAGATGGACCCCCAGGACCTGCTTACGTCTGGGCTCCCAGCCCTGCCCGTCACCCCCGCATCTCCTTGCTTCTCTGGAGTTGCCAGCATCCCTGTTGCTGTCAAAATGATCGTTCTTAGAATAAGCAAAGCCTTCCTTGCTATTTGGATTATCCACCAGGGTTAGCTCTGCTGGACTTTTCTTTAAAATCAGAAACTTCACACCCTAAGCTAATGCCCCTGCAGTTGAGCTGGCTGGCTTGCATGGGCATGCTTTAGGTGGAGTGCCATGTACTCAAACCATTTCTCACATGTTGGCAACCAACGTGTTACTCAGCTGGGTCTCATCCTGATCAAACCAAAGCATGGAAGTGATTCCGCCCGCTCCCCCCTCCCCGCCTCTTTCCTCCTCACCCAGGAGCCCACAGACTGCTCTGGGGAAGGATGGTGGTGAGCTGCTCATCCTTGATGTTGTCACCTTTTATCTCACTTATTAGCACCTACCGCCCTCACGTTGCATCAAGATGCTTGGGTTGCTTTTCATTGGCCTGGAAAACTATCCTCTCCCCCCAACCCCTTAATGTCTCCTTGAGGCTTAATTATACCCAAGCAGGCTTTTGTGGTATAAATATGATCACAGCTGATACAGATCCACAAAGCCTAATGGATTGAGTTCACGCTGGCCCAGTGGTTTGGCATTGCTCTCTAGTTTGCTTGTGTGCAATGTGACTAAGGCAGCCTAGAGCTCGTGCTAACTCTGTAAGGACATTTCTATGGAAATTAATTAAAATTAAATATTTAGTTTCTCGGCCACACCCGGCCTACGTCAAGTGCTCGGTGCCATGTGTGGCTGGTGGCTATCCTACTGGATGGCCCAGGTCCAGGGTATTTCTGTCAGACAGCACCCATCTTGCAGAACGCTTCAGGAAAATTAGTCACCTGTGTTACTAACTAGAGGTCAAAGAGCGAGGGGACATAGGCTAGCAGTGCACACCCAAAAACCTCCCACCCACCCCCTGTGTGTCCTCCTACCTCCCAGCGGTACAGGCACTGTTACTTCCCCCTCATTAGATGCTGTTGAGAGGGCAAGGAGGAAAAACAACAACAACAACAACGGAGAAATGGGTTTGTATACATAGTTAACATCATGGACTCTGCCTAATTTCTTCCCCTCTCTCTTCAGGTCCTTGAGGCCACGCGGGTTAACCGAAGGAAGAACGCCCTGGCCTTGCGCTGGGAGGCGGGCATCTATGCCAACCAGGAGGAGGAGGACAATGAATAATACACTTCCACCCAGGAAGCTTCCTGCGTGCTTGGGTCACCAAGAAGCCAAGCCATCCACACATCCCAGCATTTTAATGGACTATTTATTAAAGTGCAACCAAACTCAGCCATCCTTCCCGAGACCAGAAGCTGCAACCATGAACCATGACATGAAGAAAGAAGTCCATCCATCAAACTCTACACCCGGGAGTCATCCAGAGAAAGGATTTTTTTTTTTTTTTTTTTTTTGTGGCTCCGAGAACCGTCTGGGTTTGAACCGATCCATACCTGCTCCAAAGGACAAAGAAGTGACAAGCAAATCAACATGGTGGTTCCAGGCAGAACCGAGACCAGCCGGGCTGGGTGGGAGGAAACGCAATGGTGATGGGGCTGTTGGAGAGCAGGGAGCCCAGGCTGGTGCAGCCGACTGGCACAGAGGCCTCTTCACCAGGGGCCCACCTACCACCCAGCATCAGAGGTGTTGGGTGAACTCCGTCGACTCCAGCAGCCAAAACATGGATCCTGTTTCTCTCCTTGCTGAGAAGAGGCAGGGATGACTCCATTTATCTCACATTTCCTTGTTTTTAATCGGGAGCAGTTAATGGTCGCAATACACACAATCCCTATTTTTAAGACAACGTTTCTTCCTATTGCAAAACACAATCTGTTCCACACAAGGAGGCTGAGAGAGGGGGAGAAAGCCAAACCAAATGGATTATTTTAGCTTTAGGATCTCGTCCGCTTACGCTATTGACTGATCTGCAGGTTTAGGAGAACACGTTTTCATGATTATGTTTCTTCCTAGGAAAACTATATTTAGTGGACAACGACTATTTTTATGATGGGATTGGGGAAATATATCCATGTATAAAGCCTGTGCACATTGAACATCTGGTTCAAGAGGGTAGAGGTATTTTTAGAATGGCAACCGTTGAACAAGGGCAGACTCTGCCCTCAGAGAGGTAGATGATGAGAAGTGAAAAGGGGCTTATATTTTACTAGAATGCCATAAAGTGGACCTTAGGGGTGGTAGGAAGAATGGGAAATTATTTTGGATCAATCAGAAATGAAACGTTAAAGAAAGGCCACGAAGGTAGAGAGAGAGGGAGGGAGGAAAAGTGGGGGGAAATAAGGAAGTAAGAGATATTTTTGTTGATCAGCCAGTGTTTTTCAGGATGATACAGAAAAATAAAGACTAGATATTTCAGCTACAAACGCTAAAGATGGTGTGTGTGTGTGTGTGTGTGTGTGTGTGTGTGAGTGTGTGCCTGTCTACACACGCACTCACCCACCTCTTGTGTGTTGGTGTAAAGTGTGTATGCCCATGAGTAAGAGTGTGTGTGTGTGTGTGTGTGTGTGTGTGTGTGTGAGAGGATTAAAATTCCAGAGTGATCATGGGACAGGGTATACAGCGATTTCCTCCAAAGCTGTTCGCCGGCATGAGGAGTGAGTGAGGAGGCCTTTTTGTGAAAAGGGATATAGAGGCACGGAGCTGATGCAGTATTTGTCATTGTGAACTGGCCGGACATGGTGTTTGCATGAGGCACAGTTGCAGGATTTGGAGCAGTTTTGTAACATGACGTGTAGGAAAGCACCGTATTTATTCTCACGCTTTGTATTCATGCCTAGCATACCATAGAGGATGCCAGCTTCACTCTCTCTGTCATGTAAAGCAATATGACGAGGGCGCTCCGTAACCGAGGGCCCTACATTTCTGGATGAGAAAATGTTCCGTTCTGGCCATGAGAAAAAAAAAACAAAACCTGACCAGCATTCTTTTTTTTCTTCTTTTTCTTTTTCCTTTTGTTTTAAAACTGTGGTTTTTACAAATAAGCAATAATGAAGTCAGACCTCACTGAAGTTCGTTTTTGTTTTTCTAAGGTGTCATAAGCTCTAATATGTTATTCTGATGAGTAGCAATTCCACATAAAGTTTGTACGTAGATGTTGTGCACATTATCTTTGTTCCTTTTATTAGACTAGCGTTGACTTAGGGGAAAACTGATCCGCAGACCAGCAGTGGGCACCGAGAAGGATTGGAACTTTCAGGTCATTTGCAAGGAGGATCCTCGAAGACTGTCAAGGGAGCCTGCAGTGTGAAGCCACATTCTACCCCTGGGCAGCTGGTGCCATCTTTGTATGAATCCTGCTCTTGAATATTCCAAGTGAATATTCGACGTGTGCCCACCGCCAGGGGCACCAGATGAATAATATCCCTGTGGCAAGAAATTAATTTTGGGGTGGGGGGAGGCTGGCCCAGAGGTAGACATCCTCGGGAAAACGAGATCTGGGTGAGGTTAGAAGTCCTGTCGGTACAACCAGGAAGAATGCTGTGCCCGGTGAGGTCCAGTGTCCCCAAGGCAGGCTTGGAGGTGAACACCGGTGAGCTGGCAGCCTGGGTTGGCCCAGGGCACAGCGGCCGCTGGCGAGGGTGGCGAGGAGCAGAGAGCTTATGTGGGCGGTGCCAGGAACCAGCCGTGCTGCCTGCTTCCAGAGCTGCCTCGGGATCTGGCTGGGACCCTGGGCACGATCTGAAGAACCTCCCCGTCTTTCACAAGAGGAAGCCGTCCTGGGGATGGGACGTAGCTGGAGATGTTCGTTCTGATGGAAGGAATCCTGTGTGCCTGCTGCCAGCCCGCACCTGGGAAGAGGATTTGCAGCTGAAGGGAAGGCTGTAGGCCACACAGCCATGGGGTCACTTCGGAGGCACACCCCTTGGTCTGTGGCTGGGGCGGCCAGAGGCACTGAGCGCACCGGGTCCTCTGGTCCGAGCTCCGTGTGTAGATCAGGCAGCAAATGCAGAGTTCCCGAGACAGCCTGCGGCCACGTGGCTGTTTCATGGCGGCCCCCTCCTCTCCGGCATTTGTCCATTCCCTCCACAGGTCACTGTTGTCTCTCTCCTCCCGCCCCTCCCCTGCAATCCCACCGACGTGTAAATTCTCTGGGGAAGAGCCAGATTTTTCTCTGCGCTCTTGGGTTTGTTTGTGGTTGTTTTTTTTTTTTACTCATTAAAGCACCATGGGGCCCCTGCTTTGTACATAGCACTGCGCTAGGCTCTGGGCTCCCTGATGACTCCCTATTTAACTCTCTGAAGATGTAACAGGGCCTCCGGCTGGTGGGAAGCTTGGCCCTCCCCTCCGCATCCCTGCCCCCAAGTAGTCTGCAAGCTTGCTCATCTCCACTAGGACAGATGTTTAGGTTCTGCAGACGTTCAAGGCTTTCCTGAAAGTTATTCCGCTCAGCCGTGTTTATAGACTTCCCTCCGCAGCCGAGTCACTCCTGACCAGCCTTGGCTTTCTCATCCAGAAATTGTGGACACGGGCTCTTTCCGTGGCCGGGGGCCAGGCTGTGCTCTGCTCAGAGGACACGGTGCAGTTTCCTTCGCCTCCTTCCACCCGTGCATGCCGCCCACGCTAGACAGTGACATAGAAGCAGTATATCGATCAGTGTCCACATATATATACACAACACACCACACACACACACACACACACAACAAGGAACACTATAACAGTGTTGGCTCTTGCCTCTGAAGACAGATAAGCAAACAATTTTTTTCACAACTAAAAACGGATGTAATTAAACTATGTATTGAAAAAAAAATAGCTTACGTGTTTAGAGATGATGACTATATCCAATTTTAGTGACAACCAATTCTCCTGAATTCTAAGCATTCAGTGAGTGAGCTGCCAATTTTGATTTTGTGTTGCTCTTTACCCAAATGACATTTTTTTTTTCTTTTCTTTTTTTTGAGGAGGAGGAGGAGGAGGGGGCAAAAGCAGCAATACTGTGTTTGACTATTACACTCTGAATCCGGCTCTCCTGTGTATGTTAACCACTGAGATGTCATTCCTCTGCTTCGGTTTTATAGTGATTGTGAGGCATTCAATGCAAGTATACAGTTATTTTCTCATTAAACCCCGGTGTGTGTTGTGTGTTTATAAACGACCGCTTCTCATTGGGCTGTGGGAGGGAGGTCAGAGGCCTGAGTAGCTGGCAGCATCCAGTGCCCTTGGCCGCTGCTTCTGCGCGGCAGGACCTGCTTCCTGCTCATTTGGAACCGAGAAAGCATCGCAGCTGGTGGGGCGCCCCGTTAGCTCTGTGGGCCCCAGCTGCCCTTGTTGGAAGCCGGAATCTCTGAAAGGACCCACCGAAATACTGCAGGCACCTCTGGATGAGGTGGGCAGACTCCAAGGTCAAAGAGAAGGTAGGACAGATGGTAAATCTCAAGCTTTGCCAATGGCTCTTACATTTTCATATTTATTTTTTAAACATTTTTTTTGTATTGATTTCAGAGAGGAATGGAGAGGGAGAGATGGAAACGTCAATGATGAGAGGGAATCATTGCTCTGCTGCCTCTTGCACAGCCCACACAGGGGATAGAGCCCTCACTGGGAACTGATCCGTGACCCCGCGGTTAATAGGTAGACTGGGCAGAGACCGGTTTGGCTCAATGGATAGAGCGTCGGCTTGGGGACTGAAGGGTCCCTGGTTCGATTCCAGTCAAGGGCATGTACCTTGGTTGCGGGCATATCCCCAGTGAGGGGTGTGCAAGAGGCAACTGATCGATGACTCTCTCTCATCGATGTTTCTAACTCTCTATCTCTCTCCCTTCCTCTCTGTACAAAATAAATAAAAAATAAATAAAAAATAGGTAGACTGGGCGAAGCTCTCATTTTTTTATATATATTTTATTAATTTTTTTACAGAAAGGAAGAGAGGGATAGTTAGAAACATCGATTAGAGAGAATCATCAATCAGGTGCCTCTTGCACACTCCTTACTGGGGATGTGCCTGCAACCAAGATACATGCCCTTGACTGGAACCGAACCCAGGACCCTCCAGTCCACAGGCCAATGCTCTATCCACTGAGCCAAACAGGTTTTGGCTCTCATTTTTATTAGTACAGTAGAGGCCCAGTGCACAAAATTCGTGCGTGGGTAGGGTCCCTAGGCCTGGCCAGCAATCAGGGCCAATCAGGTTCCCTGCTTCCGTGCCTCTCCCTTCCCTCACTCCCTCACTCCCCGCTGCTTCCACTGTTCCACACCGGCCCCTGGTGGTCAGTGCATGGCATAGTGAGTGATTGAACTCCAGGTCAACTCCTCAGGGGACAATTTGCATATTAGCCTTTTATTATATAGGATTTCCAGCACCTTATTTGGCTCTCCTCTTAAGAATTCGGAATTTCATACTTTACAGTAGGGGTGTCGAACTCAATCAGAGAAGAGGCCAAAATCTAAAATCCAGCCTAAATCGCGGGCCGAATGGTTTACTGAACAGTCATAAACTGTCATTGTGATGGAAACGCAGCGGAGTGCAGTGATGACAGCGCGGGTGCGGGCCACATTGCAAGGCCTGGCAGGATGGATTTGGCCCGCGGGTCTTGTGTTTGACACATGTGCTTTACAGGCTAGTCAGCTCCCTCCCCAATTTCATCCTGCCTCCCTCCCTCCCTCTGCCTCCTGACGCCCCTTCAGAATCCAGCTGCTTTGTTCCATCTCAAGCCCTTGCACTTACTTGCATCCCTGACCACCTGCTTCCTGCTCTCCCTTACCCACCGCCTATCTGCACCCTTCCCTCCACCTCGAGTCCCTCTTCATCTCTCCCCGTCTACGTGGCTTCTTCCAATCCTTTTTCAACCATATCTTCCTCTTCTACGGGTCTGGGGACTTCCCTGTGCACCTGTCCTGCACAGCATCTCCTCACCTCTGGGTTTAGAATTCTGTATCGAGAGGTTGGGGGGAAGTGATACAACCTCTTTGAAAATGTGATCAGACTAGTAATAACGTGGACCACGTATGAAGCACTGAGACTGCGACAGGCACTCCCATGGTCCCCACGCAGGTCCTCTGTGTCTCACAGTCCTCGGATGTACTATTTTGATTTCCACTTTACCTGTCGGGAGACCTGCCACAGCTCCTAAATGGCAGCACTTGAATTTGAACCTGAGCACTCTGACTCAGGCATTGTTGTTTTTTTAAAAAATATTTTTTTAATTGTTGAAAGTATTACAGATATTTCCCATTCCTTCCGCCACCCCCAGCCTTTTCCCCCCCCCCCCCCCCCCATGTCTTCACGACATGATTGCTTTTATTTTACCCTATTATAGATGTCCCCCATCCATCCCTCCTTTCTTACCTCCAACTAGCGGCAGCCACCCCTCTCCCAGCCTTCCCCACTCCGTGGTCTGTGTCCATGGGCTATATGAACCACTCTTCACCCAGGAACACACACCGGCAACTGTACATGCACAGTCAGTAGGTCTGATCACGTGTGCAAGGTCTTGGTGACCTCACAGCATCTCCCTGTACTCTGCAGGGAGAGGGCTCTAGCAGATCAAGGCCAAGGCTGTGGTGAGGTGCGGAGTCGGGGGAGGGGAGAGGGGTTTCTTCATCTGAATGAATTCCCTCTGGGCTCTCCTCGGGGATCAGCTCTTACAGGACTCAGTGAGAGGAGCTGGCCCAGGCATCTCTGTTGCCAAAGAGGAGGCAGAAGAGACCACAAATGGGGTGATGAAAATGCGCTAAAATCAAACTGTGGGGATGATTTGACAACTCTACTAGAAATCACTAAGCTGTACACTTGAAATGGGTAAATTTTATCGTAGGTAAATTATACCACAAAGATGCAGCCAGGGAGACAGAATAAAGAAACCAGAATAAGAGGTCACGGAAAAAGTCCAAGGAGACCACACAGCCCTAGATGGACAGGAATGAGTGGAGTCCATGCCAACACGTGACCACCAGATTCACCGCGCGCACACACACACACACACACCAACCAGGGCCAGGAGGGTTGTGATTGGCTGTGGGTTCAGATATCCTGGTCCTCTTTCTATCCATCCTAACATCTGGGCGTTAGGCAGAGCCAGTGAGTCGAGGCACACGGACTGAGTTTGGTGGGCAGGGCTGCTGAGCACTCGGACTGAGAAAGGCCGGGGAGGGGGTGTGGTGCCGTGTGGTCCAAGTAGACTGCATTTTGGAGGGGCTCTGAGGAGGCTCTTCCTGCAAAGCACTGACCCCTCATGGGCGGGGGCCGTGCGCAGGCCTTTTGTCTGCGAGGAGAGGTAGAGGGAACCTGTGGCCATCTCCCCTTTTTTTACTGGTGGCAAAGAGACTGTCTTGTGGGACACAGGAGGCCATAAGGTTACTTTGGAGCCTTGCTCATTCTAATTGGGGAATTCCTGGGCCACACGAGGGTAGGGCCTAGATCCCTCCCTGCACAGAGCCCACACAGCATTCAGAACGGGCCGCTGGGGCGCAGATCACGCGGGAGATTGGAAGGGAGCCGTTCCAAAGGTTTGGAATGTGCAAGACGACACTCAGGCAAAGACCGGGGCCTCGGGAAATAACTGGAGAAGCCACACGGGCCATTTCCAAAGGTGGCCCCAAGCATCCAGATGCTTTCTCTCAGAGAAAGAAAAATGTCTGCATACTACAGATTAAAAAAAAAAAAAATTCCCTGAGATAACGTAGCCTCGGTGGGAGTTATCCAGACATTGGTTTCTGAGTTCCCAGGTGGCGGGCTCTGAGCAGCGTGGGATGGATCTGCCGGTCCCTAGAGAAGTAAAATCACGAGTCTCTCCCTCCTTGGCTTCCCTCAGCCCTCACATCTAGACAGCATTCCGTCTCCGCAGTGGTCAGCTGCTAACACTCGTGTGGCTCTGGGGGGGCACTGCTCTCGAGTGCGGATGGACATTGGCCTCACCTGGAGGGCTTGTTAACGCCGCTGGGCCCCATGTCCCGCGTTTCTGATTCAGGAGGTCTGGGTGCGGCCCGAACACTCTCTTGCTTGGAGATGCTGCTGTGGCTGCTGCTGGTGGTCCTGGGACCAGGGACCTCACTCTGGAATCTCCCGTCTGGAGAGTGAGTAACCAACAGGGTCTGGGCACACCACCTCTGTTGGAAAACTGGCGAATTGCTGCATGCTTTCTAAGCTACGGGTACAGTCATGTGCCATTCTGAGCTGTTTCGAATATTGGCTGCGGTTGGTATGTGTTTGCCCAGCTTACCGGCTCACTGCTGCGTGGGCCTTGGAGAAGCAGAGCTGAGAGTCCACCCAGACTCTCCAGTGAAGCCCTTCTCACGGGTCTGAGCAGGCGGGGAAGAACAGGTAGAGAGGATCATATCCATATATGCTGAGGCTTAGCTGCAGGGTCCCAGGCGCATTGAACATCACCGCCTAGTGCTGTGGTTTTTTAAGATATTGGCGCTTGGACCTCATTCCTGGACATTCTGACTTATTTTCTCTAAATGGGGCAGACGGGGGTGTGGACTTGGGTATGTTTTCCCAGCTCCCCAGGCACTTCGAATGCAGAGCCAGGGCTGTGAGTCACTGGTGTGGTGGAGAAATGTGCTTCGTGGCCTGATCCACTTCAGAAAGTTCTGGCGGGGAAAGATCCAAGGGAAATTAGGGGCCTTGAGGGACTGAACTGGCCTGGAAGCCTCCATGCCGGTGGCTGTTAGGCTCAGCTGTAAAACTTTTGAGTTAATGAGGAGATGAGCCACAAAGATACCATAGGCTTGCCCTGCCTGTAACAGGTGCATGCAGAGAAGGAGCTCAAGTGAGCAAAGGCCCCAGATGCCACCAGATGGTTTCTGCTGTAGGAAGCATGATCATCCTTCCCGTTTGTCCTAACAAGTGTTCGCCAGTTTTCATGGTGTAATTATTCCTGTGGTGGCCGATTTCTGGATGCCCAAAGTTGAAACAACTGGTTCCCATAATTCTAAAATATTTAATAATTGGTGGAGAGCAAAGCCGCTGTGGTGAGAAGACACACTGAATGACCCAAGATGTAGGGCGAAAGCCCTCCTTAGTAAGAGTGCACTATTTTCAGTGTTTTGGGTTGACTCAAGATGGTCACTTCTGCCTGCAAGTATGAAATGCGGCCAGTAGATGGCAGTAATCCTTAAAATCAA